TGCTTTGGAAAATGGCTTGACTCCCTCTTCTTTATGGCAACCCCTGAGATATTGGAACACTGCTATCATGTCCCCCCTCGTCCTTCTCTTCATTAAACTAGACATACCCAATTCCAGCAGCCGTTCCTTATATGCTTTAGCCTCCAGTCCCCTAATCATCTTTGTTGCTAACAGAAGGATTTTTGTTTATGGGGACAGCAACAAACTAAAACTCCTGAGGTACTACATTCAAGTCATCTTTCACCACAAGCTACTTTTCTAATTAGGAAAAACTTACATCAGGCCAATCAGCAATAATTTAAACTGAGGGTAAAGGTTCGTTCTCCGAGCTTGCGGGTTGGTTTCTGAATGTTTCGTTACTAGGCTAGGTAACATTCTTCAGCTGAGTTTAGGGGATGGTTTAAACTCTTCTCAATCAGAGAATCTCTGCTTTAGCTGGCATTCCTAAGTACTTATGGAGCTGGATTTCAACCCAAACTCAGAATGCAAACCTGGCTCCATAACTATGTGGAGAATTTTATTTGGAACCTACAGAAGAAAAGCTTTCCTCTTCTTTGTAACTGTGGTGTTCCTTACCTGCTTCTCTGCATGTGTTAAAAGTGCATTTGGAGAGATAAAATGAGAGTTGGGAGACTGACACTTTATAAAACAATTATGGAGAAGAAAGAAAGAAAGAAAAAAGAAAGAAAGAAAGAGAGAGAGAGAGAAAGAAAGAAAGGAAGGAAGGAAGAGAGAAGGAAAAAAGGAAGGAAAGAAAAAATAAAAAAATCATCAATAAGTTACATGATGACAGCAAAGCCAAGAAAGAAAGAATCAAAAGATCCATCTTTATTCAATGCTATATGACAACAAAGCCAAGAAAGAAGGAAAGAATCAAAAAATCATCTTTATTCAGTAAGTTAATGACAGCAAAGCCAAGAAAAGAAAGAATGAAAGAAAAAAAGAAAGAATCAAAAGATCATCTTTATTCGGTAAGTTACATGATGACAGCAAAGCCAAAGTTGCCTTGGAACCAGCATGGTGGTTTCTTCATCCCAAGAAAGCGAGGAAGAGTAACTACACCGCAGCCCTTGTACTGAGCAGTCTGTACAACAACAGGGGGTAGCATGAGTGTTATGCAAGTCGTTCTCTCTTGCCAAATGCCTTGTTCAGCAACTGTTCAAAGTAATGACAATGTTATAAAAGTTCATCGATAAGCAGTTACATTATTCTTGTGGTCAAATGCAGCCAGCTTCACAGCCAGCTTCTGAGAAGCAAAGTCAATGGGAAGCTGGCAGGGAATGGAAAGCCAAGGTCTTGTGATGTGTGCTTAATCTGCAGTTATTTGCTTAACCACCAGTGGAATGAGTGACAGCAGTCCAGCACAGACCCATGATCCTTCGCTTGGTGACAATGTTGTTTAATGATGGAGTCGACAGTCCCTATTGCAGTAATTGCAGACTACCTATAGTCTCCAAAAATTTTGTCACACAATTCATGTACGGAGTTCTATTATTTTTATGTTTTATGGGTTTCTTGTGAATTAATTTTCCTGTGCCCGTAAGGGGACCGATTTTGAGCAAATCCCTTTCCACACATCATATATTTATGATTTCTCACCAGTGTGGATTCTCTTGTGGCAACTGCTCGTTCTGAACCTTTTTCCGTGCTCCAGGCATTTATATGGATTCTCTCCAGTATGCATTTCCAAGAAGGAACAATTGTGCTATCACAGAAACTCCACAATTAACACACTTATACAGTTTCTCTTTGTATCAGAAGTAGATTGGTGCTAACCAGTGCTTTTTTTGTAAAAAAAAAAGTGCCGGAACTTACATGTTATACAACCCGCCTTGCCTACCCTACAAGGTTCCATCCAAAAAAGGTGCCGGAACCCAGTTCTGGGCATTCTATGACAAAAAAAGCCCTGGTGCTAACTATAGCCTTTTCCACATTCCATACACTGATGTGGTTTTAAAATAGCATCATATGAAGTTTCTGCTATTACAGAAAGTCTTTCCACAGTCTAAACGCTTACCTGATCTCTCCCCCGAGTGTATCTTTCTATGTGTATTAAGTGCACTAATTTGTCTGAAGTATTTTCCACACTCACTGCATTTATACGGTTTCTCCCCTGTGTGGATCCTCTTGTGACGACTAAGATGACTGCTGGTTGTGAAACTCTTTTCACATTCCATGCATTTGTATGGTTTCTCCCCTGTGTGGATTCTTTTATGGGAAGTTAGGGAGCTTGAGTTAGTGAAGCATTTTTCACACTCAGTGCATTTGTATCGCTTTTCCCCAGTGTGTATCCTTGTATGGGAAAGGAGGGAACTTGAATTAGAGAAGCATTTTTCACATTCATTGCATTTGTATGCTTTCTGCCCAGTGTGGATCCTTCTGTGGTGACTAAGGGTACTGCTGCTTATGAAACCTTTCCCACACTCCGTACACTTATAAGGTTTCTCCCCGGTGTGTATCCTTTTATGGGAAGCAAGATTGACACTCTTGCGGAAGCTCTTTCCACACTCGGTGCATTGATATGGTTTCTCCCCTGTGTGAATTCTGTTATGTACAGTATAATTATATTTTTGACTGAAGTTCTTTCCACATTCCCTGCACTCGTATGGTTTTTCCCCCGTGTGAATCCTTTTGTGGGAAGTGAGAGAACCTGAATACGTGAAGCACTTTCCACACTCGGCGCATTTATATGGTTTCTCCTCGCTGTGGAACCTTTTATGGGAAGTCAGAAAACTTGATCCTATGAAACTCTTTCCGCAATCCTGGCATTTGTATGGTTTTTCCCCACTATGAATCCTTTTATGGGAAGTGAGAGAACCCGGCATAGTGAAGCATTTTCCACACTCCTGGCATTTATATGGTTTCTCCCCTGTATGAATCCTTGTATGGTAAGTAAGGTGTTTTGCAGAACGGAAGCTCTTTCCACACTCCAAACACTTATGGAGTTTCTCCCCTGTGTGGATCCTTTTATGATAAGTTAGATGTTTCACAGAACGGAAGCCCTTTCCACACTCCATACACTTATACGGTTTCTCTCCTGTGTGGATCCTGTGATGAGCAGTAAGGTCCTGAGAATCATTGAAGCTCTTTCCACACTCCTGGCATTTATATGGCTTCTCCCCTGTGTGGATTCTTTTATGGGAAATAAGATGTTTTGCAGAACGGAAACTCTTTTCACATTCCTGACATTTATATGGTTTCTCCCCAGTGTGGATTCTATTATGTACAGTATAATGATATTTTTGTCTGAAGCTCTTTCCGCAGTTCTTGCAATGATATGGTTTCTCCCCTGTGTGGATCCTTTTATGGCAAGTGAGGGAACCTGAATTGGTGAAGCACTTTCCGCACTCTGTACATTTATACGGTTTCTCCTCGCTGTGGAACCTTTTGTGAGAAGTAAGAAAACCTGAAGATCTGAAACTCTTTCCACACTCCTGACACTGATATGGCTTTTCTCCAGTATGGATTCTTTTATGAGAAGTGAGGGAACCTGACATAGTAAAGCATTTTCCACACTCTTGGCATTTGTACGGTTTCTCTCCAGTGTGGATCCTTTTATGGTAAATGAGGGAACCTGAGATTGTGAAGCGTTTTCCACAATCCAGGCATTCGTATGGTTTCTCACCTGTGTGAATCCTATTATGGGAAGTTAGGCTTGTGGCAAAATGGAATCTCTTTCCACATTCCTTGCATTCATATGGTTTTTCTCCTGTGTGGATCCTTTTATGGGAAGTAAGATAACTTGAGTCTCTGAAGCTCTTTCCACATTCCAGGCATTTATACGGTTTTTCTCCAGCTTTTATGCTCTGACTTAAGATAAGAGGAATAGTCCATCTGAAGCATTTCCTGCTTTTATTTTGTTTTTCTACAGCGTGGCTTCTGGAACAGTCACATAATTCCGATTCATCTCTGAGCATTTTTCCACACTGTGGACACATTCCTTTTTCTTGGTGTTCAACTTCAGTCAAGACACTGACATCTATACACTGAAAAGGAGAGCATTTCTCCAGCCTCCCTTTTAACTGGTTTTCCTCAGAACTTTCCTTTCCAAACCTCCTTTTCACAACTTCCTTTTTGCCTTTTGTCAAAAATGCTGCTTCCTCTTTTCTGGAAGCCTCCATCTGCCATTCATCACCTGTTTGGAGCAGAAAAAAAGGAAAGTTGACACAAACTGAATTATGTAAGGCAGGGATCCCCAACCTGTGGGCCACGGCCCAGTAGTGGGCCATGAGGGGTTTGCAACTGAGCGGTGGAAGTGGGACAGGCTGGCCAGTGTACGCACGTGTGCATGCACACATCCTCACACACCCCAATCGCACTAGTGCAGTGGGGCACAAAAACAGGACTCTGCACCATGTAAAAATGGGATGCTGCTGCATCGCGGGATGTCGCCGTGCCTCAGGATACGAAAATGGGACATCGCCACGCCTTGATGTGCGAAAACGGGATGTCGCCATACCTCGGGGTGTGAAAATGGGATGTCACCGTGCCTCAGAGTGCGAAAACCGGATGGTGCTGCGCCCCAGAGCGTGAAAATGGGACATCACCGCACCTCAGGGCATGAAAACGGGATGTCGCTGCACTGTGGGGCACGAAAATGGGCTGCTGCCCGGCTGCAGAGCACAAAAACGGGCGCCACCATGCTGCAGGGCACAAAAACAGGTGCTGTCGCACTGCAGGGTGCAAAAACAGGTGCCACCATGCTGTTGGACACGTAAATGGGGCGTTGTGTCATGCAAGAATGGGGCAGGGTTAACAAGTATCATGCAAGCACTAGCCCCGCCCTGTTTGCATCACATGCTTGCTCGAGGTCCTATGCCCATGTAAATATGTTTCCCCCTCCCTTTCCCTCTGGTTGGCCAACCGAGAAAGGTTGGTGGCATCTGATGTAAGGAATGAAACACCATTTTTCATCCCTTATTTAAACATTATTTTCCCCCACCATTTCTATTTCCTTTTATCTGGTCTGGAGATTCGTTTCCCTGTTTCTGTCAGAGTATGTTGAAAACATGGGACTGTGCTTCTACAGGTAGTCCTCAACTTACAACAGTCCATTTAATGACTGTATAAGGTTACAATGGCACTGAAAAGAAGTTTAAAAATTATGCCCGACTTTCACACTTACGTCCATTGAAACATCCCCACGGTCACCTGATTAAAATTCATATGCTTGACAACTGGCATATATTTTGTTAGCAGCGTTGATGGCTGCAGTGTCCCGGGGTCATGTGATCACCTGTTGTGACCTGACAAGCAATGTCAATGGGGAAGCCAGATTCACTTAACAACTCTGGCAAGAAAGGCTGTAAAGTTCACTTAACGACGTTCTTGTTTAGCAACAGAAATTTTTGGCTTAATTGTGGTTGTACATTGAGGACTACCTGTACTGCAGAGTTCCCCAATCTTTCATGGTTGGTGGCCTGGAGCAGGGGCAGGGGGAAAAGAAGAGATGGTTTTGTGGGGGAGGTGAATGCATGAGTGCGCGCGTGCATGTGCAAGAATACTCGTTGCTCACGCAAGTGGGGCTGTGAGTGCTCACACGAATGGGACCACAAATGTCTGCACTGCTCGGGGTGACATGAGCGCTTGCGTGAGAGGAGCCACAAGCGTCCGCGCCGTTCATGGTGACGCGAGTGCCTGCACATGGGGCCGTAAATAGCTTGCGTGGGGCCGCAAACAGGCAGGGGGCTTCCAAAGCTTGCGGTTATGCGAGTGCTCTGTGCATGGGGCTGTGAACACCCACGACACTTGCAGTGATGCTTGTGTGAGTGGGGTTGCGAACACCTGCAATGCTTGTGGTGGTGCTCACACGAGTGGGGCAGCAAATGCCTGTGATACTCGTGAGTTGGGCCACAAATGCCCATGACAAGGTGCCGCTCGTGTGAATGGGGCTGAGGACGCCTGTGACTCTCGTAATGACGTTCGTGCAAGTGGGGCTGTGCATACACACGTGCACCTGCCAGCCACTCATGCGTCACAGTGGCCAATAGGCCATGGCCCGGTAGTGGACTGCTGCTCATAGCTTGGGGAGCCCTGCTGTATTGGGTTGATGTAAGATCTGCCATATTCTTCCCTCTTGCCCTCTATGCTGCAAAATGCAAACCTAAATTCTTTGGGGAACATCATGTCAAGTCTCAAGGAAGGGCACCATCAACTCTGCTGCTCCTTCAGATTCAGTTCCAAGGAAGCAGGAGGAACTCTTGAACAGAACCTATGTTCATTAGAGATCTGCAATCTACTCTGCAAAAAAATCATCAAATTGTATTGAAATGGCCTCAAATGTATCGTGTCCAATGACAGGACAACAAGAATCCCAGTTGCTGAGGCAGCCAGTGGTGTAAGGCAGGGTTCCCCAACCTGTGGGCCGTGGCCCACTACTGGACCATGGCCTATTGGCCACCAGGCCACGTGAATGGCTGGCCAGTGTGCATGTGAGCACACAGCCCCACTCATGCAAGCATTGCCACAAATGTCACATGCGTTTGCGGCCCCAATTGCTTGAGCGTCATTGTGGATATCTGCGGCCCCACACATACTGTAAGTGCTCATGTCACCGCGAGCATCGTGGCCCTACTTGTGCAAGCAACAGTTGGCTGTGCACGTGCACGTGAGTGCACATGCATTCACCCCTCCCACAAAACCATCCCTTCTCTCCCCCCCCCCGCTCCGGGCCGCCAAGCCCAAAATGTTAGGGAACTCTGGTGTAAAAAAAAGTCTTACACTGGAGATATATTGGAACGTGACCTACAGTGTCAGAGGAATAAATCAGTGCAAATTAGATATTGTCAAATGAAAGATGAGCAGGTTGGAAATTGATCTCCTTGGTGTCAGTAAACTACACTCATCACACAATGACTTTTTCCAGTCGGAGGATTTCACTGTCTGTTATTCAGGGCATGATATCACGAAAACAAATGGAGTGGCATTTATTGTAAGCAAGAAACCTGCTGGAGCAGTGGAAAGCTTCTCTACTGTCAGTAACCAAATTGTGACCATCAGAATTCGTGCCATCTCCTCAATATCATAGTTATCCAAGTATGTGCCAATGACTGCTCCAACAAAGCTTGAAACAGAGGGCTTTTATGACATAGTCTAAGAAACTTTGAAACAAGTGCCCAGAAAAAAACATTGTTTACATTCTTGGCAACTTCAATGCAAAAATTGGCAAGCAAGGTTATTTTGGACTAAGTGAGAGGAATGATGCAGGTGATCATTCGATACAATTTTGCCAAGAAAACCAATTTAGGATCATGAATACATGATTCAAACAGCACGAGCACTGCTTAATACACCCAAGCATCAATGAATGGACTTCACCATAATTAGAATGACTGTGCCCCATGCAGTCATTGAGTTCACTGCTTGCTGTGAAGACATATCCATTGCAGTTGGGATTCATGGATTGTTGGCGGCAAAAATTAAAGTCAAACTATGCACCCTCAAAAAGGCAGTGTCTCCAAAGAAGTTTAATGTCACCAAAATCCCGACTACGTATACAATGGTGGTGAAAAATAGATTTGAACTATTGGACATGGCTCAGAAGATACCTGACATGGTAGGAAATGCAATTGACCATTATTGGAATTGCAGAATACATACTCTACAAGAAGCCAGAGAAAAGGTCCGAGTGGCTCTCAGATGAAACTATCAAAATAGCTGAGCAAAGAAAAGCAGCCCAAGGCACCAGGTAAATGGGAAGAAACAAGAAGATAATCTCAGGGGCTGCCACAAAGAAGAGGGAGTCAAGCTATTTTCCAAGGCGCCTGAAGGCAGGACAAGAAGCAACGGGTGGAAACTAACCAAAGAGAGAAGCAACCTAGAACTAAGGAGAAACTTCTTGACAGTTAGAACAATTAACCAGTGGAACAACCTGCCTCCAGAAGTGGTGAACGCGCCAACACTGGAAGTTTTAAAGAAGAAACTGGACAGCCATTTGTCCGAAATGGTATAGGGTTTCCTGCCTGTGCAGGGGGTTGGACTAGATGACCTCCAAGGTCCCTTCCAACTTTATCATTATTATTATTATTATAAGACTGAATGTAGGTTTCCAAAGGACAGCAAGGAAGAACAATGAAGTTTACTGGAACGAACAATGTCAACAGCTTGAAGTGGACCACATGAAGGAATGCATTTGTGCAAATCAAAAGATCCGAAAACCATTTATTGCTTGTAAAGGCAACATTAAAAACTAGAGAAAGAATTGTGAGAGGGACCTTGGAGTCCTAGCGGAAGATCACATAAAAATGAACCAGCAGTGGGCGGCAGCAGCCAAAAAAGCTAATACAATCTTTGGTTGTATAAACAGAGGCATAGAATCAAAATAACATGAAGTACTAATACCGCTTTATAAAGCCTTAGTAAGGCCGCATGGCAATAGAAGAAGGGGACGACAGAGAATGAGGTGGCTGGATGGAGTTACTAAAGCAGTAGGCATGAGCTTAAATGGACTCCAGAAGATGGCAGAGGACAGGAAGACCTGGAGGAACATTGTCCATGGGGTCGCGATGGGTCGGACATGACTTCACAACTAACAACAATGCCATACCTGGAATAATGCATCCAGTTTGGGTCACATTACAAAAAAGATGTTGAGACTTTGGAAAAAGTACATACAAATATATATAAATATTAACCACTGTCCATCTTGATGGACTAGATCCTGGATGTGTTGGCTGAATCCTGTGATGAGCCAAGGAATCATGCCGAATCAAGGACAGTGGGTTCAACACTTTATTTCGGTGCAAAAGTAAAGCTTGGACTTCACTTTTTACTTCGGGCTTTCATATGTTT